AGGATCCAAAGCGGGCTCTGCACTGACAGCAGAGAGCCTGATGCTGAGGGGCTGGAACGCACAAAATGAGAGATCATGACCTGAGCCCAAGTCAGAAACCCAACTGACTGAGCCACCCAGGCACCCCACCCCCGCTTTGAAGTTTGCACTGTAAGGGGCTCAGAAGCAAGGGTGTGCTCAGTAGGCATTGATAAGGTTAAGGAGACTGTAAGGGCATGGAGGGGCCAGGGGCATGTTCCGTGGGGCACCCAAGCCCTTGGTGTTCCTGATGTGGCCCCGGCCAGGAGCCCTCTGACCAGCCAGCTTCCTCCATAGCATGACGTGTGCCAAATGCAACCATGGATTTTGCTGGCGCTGCCTCAAGTCGTGGAAGCCCAGTCACAAAGACTACTACAACTGCTCTGCCATGGTAAGGGCCGGGGCCAGGAGGAGGCCCAAGGGCAGTCAGGATGGGATGCTGCTGCTGGGCCCTGGGTGTCCTGAGCAGCTGAACAGCTGTTGGGACAGAGGCTCAGTGGGAAGACAGAAGCCACCTGGGCCTACAGGTGCTGGAAGTTCTGTCCTGGGAGGTCTATATTCTCAGGAGGCACCAGGCCAGAGCAGAGCAGGTGCCGTGCGTCAGAGCCTGGCACCACTGCCAGGGCATTTGCCCACACCTCAGCCTCACCTGTACCAGGGGATAATAATGTGACCTGCTTCACAGAGTTAGGATTAAATGATGAGGTCTGGGTGAGGTGTCAGAAGGCCTCCACGCAGGGTACCTAGTGTGTTAACCCCATCCTGCCCAGCAAAGCACCCTAGAGCCCTCTCAACCTGCCCTTACCAGGTAAGCAAAGCAGCTCGCCAGGAGAAGCGGTTTCAGGACTATAACGAGAGGTGTACTTTCCATCACCAGGCCCGGGTGAGCAGGGAGGAAACAGTGGTGTCGGTGAGAAGGTCAGAGGGCTGGGGTGGATGGCCAGGCAGGGGCCAAAGATCCAAATTGGGTGGGTGCTGTTCTGACCGGGTGGGGGAGGGCTGCACGCAGCAGCGCTGATCCGCCTTCGCCTGCACAGGAGTTCGCCGTGAGCTTGCGGAACCGCGTGTCTGCCATCCAGGAGGTGCCCCCACCCAAATCCTTCACCTTCCTCAGTGACGCCTGCCGGGGCCTGGAGCAGGCTCGCAAGGTGGTGGTGGTGCGGGCCAGGGAGGGGGTGCGGGGGATGTGCCA